GTTCACCTCGATGTGTTTCTTCTTGGTGTCCCGGAGCGCGCCGGCGAAGCAACTGGCGAAGCAACAACCCATCAGTTCGGTGTTTGACTGGCCTGTAATGAGCACTTTGGCTTGTCAGCTGCTGATTCACCTCATCACTTTATTCTCAGGGTGGCAAATGGCAAATCAATTCAGAGCAAAAGACTTCAAGCGGGATTTGGAAGGAGATTTTGAGCCTAATTTAACCAACACAGTGGTTTTCGAACTCATGGCGGCCATGCATGCTGCATCCTTCTTAGCCAACTACGACGGTCATCCCTTCATGCAGCCGTTGTCTGCAAACAAACCGTTGATGTACAGTTTGATCTTCTTCGTCACCGTCATCGTGGCATGTGCATCTGAAGTCATTCCGGATCTGAATCATTCGCTGTCATTGGTCCTGAGTCCTTCGCCAGAGTTTCAGCGCAAAATTCTGCTGTTGGTTGTGGGAGACATTGCTTTGTCCTTCGGAACGGCTCGATGTATCAGCCTTTTGGCACTCCATTGGCGAGGTCGGTCTGCAGAGCAGCGTGCTCATCAACTGGGTTTGTCCAATGGAAAGGGTCCATCTGAAAAGTCCAAGTGATGCAGCGCCGACATGACGGGTACATGACGGAGAGGGCGCCTTTGAGATGCCTTATGCATTGGGAAGCGATCCCAAAGCAGAAAAAGCGCACAATGTCGTCGGGGCTGGCGGGAGAATGACGTGTTTGCCCTTGCCAATGCGTCGCCATGTTGTGTTTCTTTTTTCAAATTTGGAATCACTAGAGGTATGATACGCACAAAAGATCACAAAAGAATACACACCTTTTCACTTTGGGGTACGACGTGGAATGGAGGGTTTGCTGTTTTGCTCCGTGCAGGCCAAGACTCCACGAGACTTGCAGCGGACTGGTTCACTGGCTTCAGGGCCTGCCAGCAATGCCCCTTCGCCAAATCGAAAGTGCGAACCTCATGCGAACCTCAAGAATCCGCAGAGATCTGCAATGGTGATGTTCGGTTCATTGCTGTCGGTATAGGAAATGGTTCCTGCAGCTGAAGCACGCCAGATTTCTGGAAAATCGAAACCTAACTGACTGAGTTCAGCAGATTCAAATGATTGATAAAGGTTGTGGGGGAGATGTACTTGTACTCTGCAAAGTTGCAAGGTTCAGGTACTTGGACCTGTGATCGATGATTATATGACACAGATTTTTTGACATTTCCTATACATAGTATCATCAGCACAATGAGGCCGGCGAACAAAAAGAAGAAGGAGAAGATCAGTGAGGAGATCCAGCCAAGTCGATGGCGCGACAAGCTCCAAGGACGGCTGGCCAAGAAGCTGCAGAGGAAAGCAAATAGCAATGTACAACAATCAAATCGAACCATGGGTGCAGAATGGTGCAGATATGAATATGTAGTCATGTGGACGAAGAGAGAGTCTGAGAGATAATATAGTGTGTAGAAATATATAGAATGTGTATAAATTATATAAGATTAGTATATTATTTATATTATATATATATAATTATATATATATATAATTATATATATATAATTATATATATATATAATTATATATATATTATAAGTTGTGTCTTATTTATTTTTGAATCTATTTAAATTATATATTATATATTTGTCATTTTAGATTTTAAGTATTTTCAAGTTATATTGTCTAAACTGTGTTTTAAAATATATTGTATATTTTTGTTTTACATGATAAATTATATACTTAAATTATTTATTGTATTATTATATATTGTATAAATTAAACTTCATTATATTTATATTATATATTTATTTTTTTATATAATATAATATATATGTATATATGTATATATCGTATGTAATCAAATCTACTGTATATTGTACAGAATTGCTGAACATTGGATAGTGTGCGTCTTGCGTTTCACGTTTTGTGTACAGTCCTGATGAATGCAGGACTGGCAAAGATCATCACCTCTGGTGGCGGGATGCACAAGGCGATGTCGCGGGAGGGTGCTATTGCCTGAGCTCAGGAATGTTCGAATTGTGGTTCTGCGTTTCTGTGTATACTGAAATATACTGAATGCGCTATGATAATTAATTATATGATTAGGTCTTATAGTCACGTTTTGGTTTCCTTTCTTGTGCTGGAATTATCCTGGGCATTCCTGGGTTGATTTTCTGGCTGCTTGTGATTGTGAGGAAGCCTATGAACTGAATGCAAACGTGGAGTATTTCTCTCCTTCGCCTCTTTGCTGCGTCACGTATAAGAAAAAGACTGGCGTGTTTGCAACACAGCGAAGTGACAGTGAAATACCTTAATATACTGTATCTATACTGTATCTTTAAGAGGCAGCAGCAGCAGGTCAGGGTGATCCGTGGAATGTTAAATTGTAATGTGTCTTGATGCGGAGTATCGAAGTGCCAGTTCCAAACTTCACGTGACCGCAGAGTATCACACACTTTCTGAAACTTGCCAAGGAATGGAGTTTGGACATCAGCCGTGATAGTTTCTCGCGGCGAGTTTGACCAGGAAGCTTGGTTGGAAACGATCCCGGGAGGTTTCCCAAGGTCGCTCCACTTGCTGCTGGCTCTAGGTTTGGTCCCTTCCACAGATTCATCTTGCTAAGCGCAGACAATGCATAATCTATGAGAAACTTGCCCGAAAAAATTCAGAGTTCTTTGAATCCTTCGAGATCTTCCATTGCAGGAGGGTTTGCCAATCTACACCCTCCGAGTCGGCCGCCAGCGTCGTCACGGAGCCAAGTTTGTGATCACTTGCACGATCCACATCCATTCGCATATTTCGCGTCATTGAAAGTGTTGGCAGCTGCTGCCAAGTTTGGAACACGATTCACATATTGAGAAGTATTTTTCGATCCAGTCCTTACCGCATCAGCAGCCATTTGTTCGTCCATCGCCATCCGCATCAATCTGTTCCGGGCATCCTGCCATCAGGTCATAGAGTTCCCATCAAGTTCATCAGAGGTACCCTTCACCAAGGCGAATCCGTTAGTCCCTCGGCCAGCGCTCAGTCCACTCAGTCATGGGCACAAAGGTGCCAAAGACATGAATCAAAGGTGCCAAAGGTGCTCGGCATTGCTAGAAACCAGATCGATTTATTCTCATAGAATGCCAGGGAGATCATTAGCGGAGGTACGAGAAAATCACTACACTTCAGATACATTCAGACTCAGTCATCTTGGAACAAGATAAATCATAGTTGTTGGCTCCAGGAGTTCCACTGTTTCCAATCCTTGATCTCCACCGCCAGATACCGGCAGAGAGCACCAGATAGTGCCAGAGAGCACCAGGTTTCTTCATGGACTACGAGACATCTTGGACGAATGCGACCATCGCTTCACCTCCCGCTAGTGCCACGCTGGGGCTCCTGGCAGCTGTGCTTGTTTCCACCATAGCTATCCATAGCCGGCATTAGCATACATTGGCTATATTAGCTGACATATATCAGATTTCAATTGGATCAAGGATTTGTTCTTCATTTAGTGCAATTGATGTTTGTGCCACCGGGTCGAAAACCGCACGTGTAGGCGCGCATGTTTTTTTTGATTTGTGGATTTTTGCAGCGAGATTTCGACCCGGTGGCTTGCTGATGCAATTGATATGATGTTGTGTTTTGCACAAGTGGGGTGAGGGGGGCTGATCGTGTTTTTTCGCCTGCGTTTCAACATGCTCTTATACCCCTTGGGCTCAAATTTGAATTGGGCCTCAGTCGCGTTGGAGTCGCGGAGTTTTAAGTCACAGGCTGGGATACGAACTTGACGTCCTGGACGAGTTTGGAAAGCCTTCTTTGGCAGTAGCTGGCCGTTTGAGGCGAGCCCTGGGGAAGGAGGGGTTGCGATCAAAGGTGAATGTATGAAACATTATGAAACCATTGAAAATAATTGAGACCGTGACCAAATTAGGTCAAAATGGATGGAGTGGTTGAGCACATTAGAGTTGAGTTCATGGAGTATTTTTTGATTCGGATTTACAAAAGACACCGTTTTCCTTCTGCCATGCAGTCGTAGCATGACCTGAGAATCTTTTAGGAAGCCCGTCAAAAGTCAAAACGGACTAGGCACCAGCATCAAGCCTTCGCTGTACTGCATGGATCAGCATGGCCTGTCATGGGCTCGTAAGCAGATGTAAGCATCGCTACAGCCGACAGAGATTTGACCAGTTGCACTTCACAACGCAGTTCATGCAGTTCACAGGCGACGATTTTTAGCCTCTCAGCCTATTCAAGTCTACAACGGGCAGCGCCTCGGCATCCTGCCACTGCCACACTTGAAAATAAGGATTAAATAAAGGCTATATGTTGAAATGGGATCAGCTGGCATCAGAATCTATAGGCAACATGCGTCACATGCGTGGATACATGTGGATACCCAGGAGAATAGTTGTAGTGGATGGTTCTATGCAGTAGTTCTGCCACGTTGTACCACTATTCCATTGCCATTCGCAGCCTTTGACACTCGAGGTTTTGTGGCTGGGTAGATGCGGTAGTGCTGGAGGACTTTGACACGCCTGGGTGGACCTAAACTTCACAATACCTGTATCTCATGTGAATTCCTGCGAATGTATGGGTGTTTGATGGCGCCTCAACATTCCACCGATGTGACCTGTAGGATGCATTAGAAAACGCTGATGAGATTCCTGGGCGGTACATGAATGATACAGAGAAGGTTGAGCCTTGGATGTGTGGAAAGATAGAAGAAAGATGGGGCGAAAGAAACCGAACATTTGTAAATACCTGATGACTTGTTTTCCAGGCACTTACGTTGTTCCTATAAAACATTGATACATCTAAGTGCGCCAGCTGCCTCAACGGCCCCAACTGCCCCAACTGCCTAAGCTACGTCAACCAAATCGTACACACTACGGGAGCTTGGAACCAAAGCTGAGGAAATCTCCAAAGCTTTGTCGCCAGAGGCGGCCAGTTTGGAACAGTGTGGAACGTGAGAAGTTTGTCTTGAGGATGGCTCCGCGGTTTCACCAAATCGTTTTAATATTATTCATATATATATATATAATCCCCCTGGCAATTTCCTCTTTAAAATAGAGGTACCCGGGTACCCTTATAACCCATTATTTTAACCCTCTATCAAATGTTGTTTTTTTAATGTTGGGAAATGCGAAGCACTTTTTGGTGTTTTTGGCATGTTGCAAGGTCAACCCAGGTCCCCATTTTATAGAGGGACTTTTTGGGGTAACTTTTGGGTGCTCTTTTTAACCCTGGTCCCCATTTTATAGAGACTAATGCTTGGATTGTGTCAACATGAACAACTCGCTATAGACCGGCAGCACCACATGGCTCCAAAATGTTCAAAAAGATCAAACATGTTGGCAAGATTCGGCAAGTAAAAAGAGAAACCAATTGAATACAATCGAAACTAATCAAATAAGGATAAGTAAGGCCTTTTTTTAAGCCGGAATTTTCAAGAACGATAGTATGGGAATGACATGGAATGAATGTACAAGGGCCTCTACCACCAAGAGCCTCTATAAAATTGGTGCTTTGTGGTAAAATACGAGCTGGTTCCCCATTTTATAGAGGAGGGCTTCCCAGAATCTGGGAAAGTGTTGAGGCTTTGGAGATTTTTGATGATGTTTGATGTTTTTTTTTGAGGGGCTTTTGGGTCTGGGACGGCTTAGGGATGTTTGGGGAATCTTAGGGATTCTTAGAATATCTCTGGAATTCTATGGATATCTTGGGTTGTGTGGTAAAGCGCCTTCCCTAACTTCCAGCTTTCTAGCTTTCCCATCCCAGGATCTCCCAGGTGCCAATGTGTTTTCCATATTTTTTCCATTTTATAGAGGCAAGCCCTTGCAAAACCGTTCTGCTCCCCATTTTATAGAAGGGCTTCCTAGCTCTCCAATCACAGATGCCCATGCGTTTCTATTTTATAGAGGCAAGCCCTTCCAAAACCGTTCTGTTCCCCATTTTATAGAAAGGTTATCAGAGGTTTTTTTTTTAAACAATATATACAAACAATCTTCAAAATATTCAATGCGTTGGATTGTGTTGCTCAGTTTCACCCGGGACTTGGTGATTTCTCACCTTTGATCACCTCTATAAAATAGAAATTCCATATCAACAACTCTCTTTTGTGACCGGAGTTTGGCCCCAGCACTTCACACCTGGGACCCTGATCCTCATTTTATAGAAGGTCAAAATGGACCCAGGTAGCCGCATCAGACAGTTAAGTGAGTAACCTGGGTACCCCCATTTTATAGACAGCGCAGACCCCCCTAACCTGGGCACCCCCATTTTATGAAGGGCCACCCCCCCCCCAGAACCATTTTATCACTATAAAATGGTGGTACCCAGGCTACACACTGAACTCCAAGGGGGATTATATATATATATATATATTGCATATACCAAAATATGTCTGTATATAGATAGATGCATGGATGGATGGATGAATGAATGGATAGATCGAGAGAGAGAGAGAGACAGATAGACAGACAGACAGATAGATAGATAGATAAATGGATGGATGGATGGATGGATGGATGAATAGATAGATCGATAGATAGATAGATAGACAGACAGATAGACAGACAGACAGACAGATAGATAGATAGATAGGTAGATAGGTAGATAGATATATAGATATACACTGTATATATATATATATGTACAGTATATGCCAATATATTTCGCATACTGGTACGTATAGATATTTGTGTATACATGTACAAAACTGTAAGGGAAGCCAATAGGTGTCAACCTGTGGTGGGTTGATCATGGTCTGTGATCATTAAACAACATCCAAAAGGATCAAGTCATGCAATTGGGAATCTATGAGTTCAATATAGTCTACTCAAGGATGCAGTATGTCCGCAACTCATTGTTTTCTAAAGCCATTAGTTTCATAACATGTTCTTGGGCCATTTTTTGGGAGATTATCCAAAGCATCCAACAAAATTTCGGTAGAACAGCCTTAAACTTCTATTTGTTTCACTGTCCCTTGTGCCCAAGCTCAAGCTTAAAATGTGGCAGGTCATGGTGAAGTGCCACCTCAAAGACGACGACGCTGAGGAAGTTGAGATCCTGGAGCTCCCATCTGGCTGCGTGCGTTGCCAGGCTGCCATGGCTGCCACCGCTGGAGTCTATGGTTTTGCCCTTGATCTGGCAGGTCATGGTTTGTAGATCTGGTCCCGCATCACACATATGTTTTGGGGGCATAGGCATAGGCATTTTCACATGTTGCATCGTTTCAGGGTTCCTTTGGATTCAAAAGGTGGTTCATAGGCGCATGGAGAGTGAACAGGAATGGGGACGTTTTTTTTTTTGCAATGTCACACCGTTGAGTCAACCCTTGAATTCCCTAGGCTACGCTGGGCACTTGAGCAAGACTTGAGGTAGCAAGTTCATGCTGCTTGATGAATATCGAGCAAAATGCAGTGGATTCTGTTTTCTTTGGATTCTGTGGTGTCGCAACTCCCAGGTTGAGACATTCACATGTTTAGCTAAACTTAAAATATTTCACTATGGACAAGCATTAGTCTCACATGCTGTAGATTCCTGAAGCTGTCGACATGTAATGATATGTCGATCAAACGGCGCTCGCATGGCTGCCATTCATCTTGCTTTTGTTGGTTTTGGCAGCCGCAACACCACCACAAATGCATAGCTTTTGACATCCTGTCAGCCCCTCTACTGCTTTGAAACGGATCTTGGGAGATTCTGACCTTCGATGGTTCTGCCGTTTGGCCATGTTTTTTTGGTTTCAGAAAGAAATGAAAGAGTGGATAGAAGTAGATAGCCATAGAAAAAGGCAGAAACTAGAAGTCCGGTCGAAATTGCCTAAAGATGGTCGCTCTCCCGCAGTTGTCCGGACATGCGGGCAACAGAGGCAGGTGGAGGTGCGAGGTTTCACCTGGGTTTCACCAGGGCGTCCTAAGTCGCAACGGTTTCAACGCAGAGTTTGGATCCACTTGGGACACCAGTCCATCAATTTCGGTAGGTGTGTCGTGCAAAGCTCGGGCACAGTCCGCACAACGGTCACAGCCCTGCAAAACTGATGCCACTGACACTACTTGTGGCAAGATTTGCAAGATTTAGCATTCAGATCTTTGTCAGAACTTGGTCTGTGGGAAGTTTTGTAGATCGTGACAAAATGTGTTTTATATGAGGCGCAAGAGCTACAAAGTTTTTTGCTCCGCCTCACCATGGCTCGTCACAGCTGAAAAAAAGGTGAGTTGCTCCGGGCAAACGAAAGGTGACAAAAAGTGATAAGATACATCTGACAGCAGGCAATTTGTCAATTTACTTGCAGATCTTTATGCTTTATTCAGCCTGATGCCTTTTGCATCACCTGTAGGTGCTGGTTAAACCAATCGCGGAAGTCCTAAAGGGTTCGCCAGTAATTGAACAACTTTGTCAGTGCCGAAACCAATCTCAGCGCTGGGTGTTGGAATTCTACATGGCTCAGAAGTGTTCAGAATCAGCGATTACACTGGACACTACATTGCTTGACCAGATCATGCATTTTTTGCTGACATTCAGTCCTGGCACATCACCTCATTTCCCATACTCTTCAATCTGAAAAGATACAAATGTGGATGTGCTTGGTGGGCCCACAGCGACCTTAACATAGGTTGCCCAAAAGCCCACAGCAGCTGGTGATGCTTGTTGGTTGGCTTCAGTAGTTTTGGCGATGTCATCCAACATGGCGCATGCTGAGGGCTCTTACCAAGCGCCCAGCTAGGTAAGATAGCGAGTATGGATGTGGCACGTGGCCTCTTGGCCCAAAGAAAAATATCCATTTCTCATGATTCCCCAAACAGGGTGTCCACTGAGGAGAATATAAGGCCGCGGTTAGATCAGGGTCCTCGCTGCGTGTGGCCTGCGGCTTTTGTCTGCGCCGGCTCGCACAAAAGTTCCCTTGTGAGATGTCCATGTGCATTTCAACTGCACAGGCTTGCACAAAGTGCCTTGTCCGTTTTGCTCGCTTCCGAATGTGTAGGTTTACCGGTGCGCCGTGTTCGTTTTTTGAGCTATGCACTTTTTCGTGACAGGCGTGGAACTTTCCGAGCATTTTGAGGTCTGGAACGTCGCTTCGTAGCATGACATACATGTGCAGGACATCGGACACGAGCGTGGCAAATTCTGCACGTTGCTAAAACGTTGGCAGGCATGGGTCGACGTGAGAGTTGGTTTTGAGGTCATTTTTTGAGCAGGTGCAGTACTTGGTGAATTTGGACGACGTCTTGAAAAGGTCAAACGCTTCCTTTTTTTTGGAACTGCTGTCATTTTTGATTTGGGATGATGGTTTCACGTGGTAGATGCAATACTTCGGATGCCTCAGGCTCATGTTTCGTGGCAGGTGCAGTGCCTTGTGCCTTGTGGACCTCAGTGTTCAAAACAATTCACATTTTGAATGTTCATTTTTCGCTGTGCACGCAACATGTGCCCGCGCGCCCGTCTTATGACTTTGGGCGTGTCGGATCACTCCCGTTCTGGCGCGTGCGCGCAACCGTCTCGGCACTTTGCGCGCGTGCGAGCGCTCTTTTTGTTGAGCAGTGCGAATTTCGGCACGGCTCGCGCAAACCTCTCGGCACTTTGTGTGTAGAGGAGCTTTTCCAGCAGTTCCCAACGCCTGAATCTGCAAGAACTCCCGTGCGCACTGCCTTCACAGAATTTCTGGCAGGATCAATTCAACTTGATACACAGCTCGCATCGGAGCAAGGCACTCCCCCAACTGGGAAACCACCATGCAACGCGCGTGTCAGATAGCTCCGGCTGTGGCGAATTTTGACATGGCTGGCGCAACCCTCTCGGCACTGTGCGTGTCCGATCACTCTTGCTGTGGCAGGGTGCTCATTTAGCTGCGTTTCAAAGATGCTGGCAACGAAATCTCCAAGTTCTCAGGGGGGGTCTTTCTATGTTATGAATTAGGTCCTTATGAAAAGATGTTGCGAAAATCCTGATGAAATCCTCTAAGGGTCTTTGCGTGATCTTGTACAGGTCCTTATGAGAACATCCCGTGGAGATCCTGGTGAAGCCCTCTCTAAGAGGTCCTTGCAGGATCAGGTCCTTGTGACAAGATATTGTTGAGATCCTTGCGAAATCCTCCAGGAGGTCCTTGCATGCATATCTCGCAGAAGCTATCTATTGGAGGTGCTTCTATGAAAGCTCTTGTGCGATGCTCTGAGGAGGTTCTTGTACAAAGGTCGTGCAGGGTCCTCTCTATAGCAGGTCCTCCTTTGATGATCTTGTGGGATTCTCTTTGATATCTTCGTATGAAGCTCTTGATCAAGATCTTGCACAGGCCCTTGAAGATTTTGTGAAGATCCTGTTGAAATCCTCCAAGAGGTCCTTGCATGAAGATGTTGCAGATGCCATGTATAAGAGTTCCTTGAAATGAAGATCTGGAAGATGCCCTGTTTTTTGAGGTGCTTGTATGAGAGCTCTTCTTCTGGGATGCTCTTGGGAGGCTCCTGTATCAAGATCTTACAGTAAGATCCTCTCCAGCAGCAGCAGGTCCTTTTATGGCGATCTTGTGAGATTCTCTTAGGGCTTAGGGGTCCTGGCGCGAAGATCTTGGTCAAGGTCTTGTACAATTCCTTGTGAAAAGATCTTGTGGAGATCCTGGTGAAATGCTGTGAGAGGCCTTTGCAAGATCTTGCACAGGTCCTTGTGAGAAGATCTTGTGGAGATCTTCTTTGAATCCATGTAAGAGGCCCTTGCATTGAGATCTTGAAGATGCTTTGCCTTAGAGCCTTGGAGATTCTTGTATGAAAGTTCTTCTGGCGCGCTCATGGGAAGCTCTTGTATGAAGACCTTGTAAGACCCTTTATATAGAAGGCCCTTCCTGGATGATCTTGTGAAATTCTATGAAATTCTCTTATATATAGATGTCCTGTTGTGAGGTTCTGGCACCAGTAGTACCGCACAATGCGGTGGCGGAAGTTTCAAAGACAGGAAACCTATAGGAAAGGTTGTTTGTTGCGAATCACGGATGGCAGAGCGAACCCACAGATGGACCGAAAGGTGGTTGGAGGTGTGTTTTTTTGCAGTGGCTGCAATGGGTGCAGTGGTCACTTCACCACAACAGCTGGATGTAGTGCGGTGTAGTGCAGTTGTAGTTGTAGTTGTAGTTGTAGTGTAGTGTAGTGGAGTTGTAGTTGTAATGTAGTGTCATGAGTGCAGTTGCCGTTGCAGTTGTAGTTGTGGTGTGGTGTAATTAGTCTAGTCTAGTGGGGTGTAGTGTAGTGTTGTGTTGTGTACTGTAGTGTGGTATAGTGCAGTTAGTGTAGTCTAGCGCAGTGTAGTGTCAAGTAGTGTAGCTGTAGTTGTAGTTTAGTGGAGTGTAATTAGTGCAGTGTAGCGTAGTGTAGTGTAATGTAGTGCTAGTTGTAGTTGCAGTTGTAGTTGTAGTTGTAGCGTAATGCAATGCAATTGGTGTGGTGTAGTGTTGTGTAATGTAGTGTGGTTGTAGTTGCATGTGTATTTGTAGTTGTAGCGTGCTGCAGTGTAATTAGTGTAGTGTAGTGTGATGTAGTGTAGTTGTAATTGTAGTTGTAGCTGCGGTGGTGGTAGTAGTAGTTGTTGTTGCTGTTGTAGTTGTAGTTGTCGCTGTAGTTGTCGTTGTAGTGTAATTAGTGTAGTGTAGTGTAATGTAGTGTAGTGTAATTAGATATAACCAGATGTAACTAGATGTGATTAGCGTAGTGTAGTGTAATTACTGTAGTGTAATGTAGCGTAGTATATTTGTAGGTGTAGTTGTAGTAGCAGTCTGGCGTAGCATAGTGTAGTGTAGTGGTAGTTGTAGTTGTAGTTGTCTATCTATCTCTCTATCTATCTATCCATCTATCTATCTATCCATCTATCTACCTATCTATCTATCTATCTGTCTATCTATCTACCTATCTACCTATCTATCTAATCTAATCTAATGTAATCTAATCTAATCTAATCAAGTCTGATCTAATCTATCTTTCTACCTACCTATCTTTCTATCTATCTACCTACCTATCTTTCTATTGACCAATCTATCTGTCTATCTACCTACCTATCTTTCTATCTACCTATCTACCTATCTTACTATCTATCTGTCTATCTACCTATCTATCTTTCTATCTATCTGTCTATCCATCCATCCATCTATCTATCTATCTTTCTATCTATCTTTCTATCTATCTTTCTATTGATCTACCTATCTATCTATCTATCTATCTATCGATCTAGCGATCTAGCGATCTAGCGATCTATCTATCTATCTGTCTATCTATCTATCTATCTATATCGATCGATCGATCGATCGATCTATCGATCTATCGATCTATATCGATATCGATCTATATCGATATCGATCTATATCGATATCGATCTATATCGATATCGATCTATATCAAT